TCCGGTATACCGGACCGTACCCAGGGTACGTTCCAGCAGTACCCTGGGGGACATAGACCCTATAGAGTATAGGCTACGAGTATGAGCATAACTTAAGTTATAGTTATACTGACTCAGTGTAGTAGGGCTACTGGGCCCTAGGCCTAGCAGTACTAGTACTACTACTAGTTCAGTAGTTGAAGTTCTCCGACCGAGGGGGGGTGTCAACCAATATTTCCTACTGCATTAGATTAGACTTACATCAGTATAATGAGTAATTGATATTACTATTTATTGTATGTATCACTATCAGCCAAGGCGTTCTAATTACGTATGGAGGATCATTCTGGTTTAGTCATCGGCATAAGTTCACTTCAACTCCTGCGTGTAAACATTCGGACCACTTCCATGCGATAACAGGTGGCAGCAGCAGTAAGCAGGATAACAAATGAACGATTGAATTCTCTTTCTTATTTTTTTTCTATTAATATATCAAATTAAAAAAACTGCTGTGTATGTGTGCTGCTTTGAGCTTCCATAATTTATATTTTTAGTATTATGCATTTTATGACTATTTTTTACCATTATTATAGGTGAAATGTCCTACACCTCAAGTGTCAGTGATTCACTGATTACCTCCCCTAGGGTCTGTCTCCCTGACCTCTGGTTGACCTGGCTTGTTTAGCTATTTCTGACTAACCCTAACCCTAACCCTATATATATTATATATTATATATATATATATATATTAGTCAGAAATAGCTAAACGAGCCAGGTCAAACAGAGGTCAAGGAGACATAGACCTTATCTGCCTGATTACCCTTCTGACTTCTGTTCTGTCCTTCAGAAAGCTCCTCAGAACATTGACCTTTAACCTAATTCGACCTGATTCTCACCAATCATAGCATGCTCTGTTACAGCAGAAATCATGGGTCAACTTGTTTGATAAATGCAGTTTTACATGCATACATGAAAGTATATTCACCGACTGCTACATCGGTAAATAAATTAGTGTGAATCTGTAATTGGAACGAGAACAATCATGTACTTGGTTCTCACGAAAATGGTTTTTGTAGTAATGTACTAAAAAGTAATTTTAGTCAATTACTGAATTAGAACATTTAGAACACTATTCAGTTTTTATGTAACGCAGCGCTTATTTGTTTTATTTACAAATTACTACCGGTACTGAATTGGTAACAGACATCATTAAACAAGCGTGAGTGTAGGGTACCTGTAGATCTTGAGTCTTGACATGAATTTTACAGACAAAATTTTATAAAGAACATATGCTACATATACGCAAAACTATGCAAACATGTATACATGCAAGAGTAATTTTTTAATTCATATTTTTGGGTATGGAATTTTACCATTTCACCCTCCTGACGGAAACCCTGATATATATATGATATATGTGATGGGGGCACAGAGGAACCCTGAGGGGGTCACGCGGGTGCTGGCTTCTTCACGCCCGGTTCTATGCGCTGTACGACGTCCGCGATGGACTTCATATAAGGCTGGAGCTGGCGCAGGATGCCGCACATGCGCTCGTTCTCCTGCCTGAAGTCAGTTACGTCGCGTAGCTGAGCCTCATACGTCTCACGCTCACCGCTTACCGCGCGCTGCCGCTCTGCCCACTCGTCCTCGAACGCCGCCCGCGCGGCGACCAGTCCCTCCCCCTGCTCGTCGAGCTGCTCGCGCATGCGCGCACACGCTGCGAGGATGGCGTCGACGCGGGGCTGGCTCGCGAGGCAGCGCCGCACGGTCACGTCGCGATGCAGCTCCTGCACGCGGTCCTTCAGCCGGTGCAGGTTCTCGTACAGCTGCCAGCGCTGCGGCTCAAACGCGCGGCAGTGCTCCGCGAACGCACCGGCGGCGCCCTCTGGCGGCGTCCACGTCGCCCGCCGCCGGCTCGCATCGCCTCCCGGCGTTTTCGTCGCTGGAGGGGACTCGACCGAATCGGACACGGCGTCGGAAGCGGACGTGGCGACGGGAGTGGACATCGATGGTGCCGGTTCTTGCTCGCTATGCGCGGGAAGGCGCAGCAGCGGCTCGAGGCAGCGCGCGTACTCCTGCCGGAAGCCGGTGCGCACGCCGCCGTCCCACGCCGGCCGCAGCATGTGCGAACACTTCGAGATCGCGCTGAGTCGCTGCATGAGTAGGTAGGCGAGCGAGAGGAACTCAAACTCGTTCGCCGACAACGCAAACGACTCGCAGGCGTTGCGGTAGGCACACAGCGTTGGCAGCATGACGGCGAGGTCGGCAAGGCGTTCGCGGAACAGCCGCTCGCGCGCGCTCTGCTGCCGCTCGGCGTCCGCCAGGAGACCGTCCCGCGTGTCCGCGAGCGCGCGCTCCACGCTGCCGCACAGCGACGCGATCGCTTCCTTCTCCGCGGCCGCGCTTCGCCGCAGCTCCTCCAGGAGGCGCCGGTAGGCGTCGACGTCCTCGACGGCGGAGGCGTGAAGCTCGCGGACGATGCGGACGGAAGCCTCGAGTTTCTCGCTCGCGTGCGCGCGCGCTGACGCGATGTCGATGCAGCGCGAGCGACCCTCCGTGTCCGCATCGCGGAAACAGTTGATGCACAGCATCGTCCGCGTGTGCGTCGAGAACATGATGAAGGGTTCGGCGTGCGCGGCGCATGTACGGTGCGCGTCCTTGGTGCGCCGCGACAGCAGCGCCATCTCGTGGCGCTGGAACATCCTCGCGGCGTGCGTGAGCTCGCGGCACGACTCGCACAGCGGCTGTCGGCACGTGCCGCAGTAAAACGTCGCGGTCGCGTCGCAGTTGGCGCACGCCGCCTTCTCGTCGTTCGTCGAGGATTCGACGAGAAACTTCATGACGTTGTCACTGGATGGCAGCACCGCTCCCTCGGTGAGCAGGCTCTCCTTGCTGCAGAGCGGGCACGTCATGCGGCCGTCGACTGCTCTGCCGCGCAGGCAGCGCGCGCAGAACGTGTGACAGCAGGAGAGTATGCACGGCTCCTCGTAAATTTCGCCGCACAGCGGGCAGAGCAGCGGGTCTCTGTTAATGCAAGATTCGTCATCGAACGCGTCCATGTCAGACGCTAGCACACTGTTTGTCATCACGCCTGCCACTGTCGCACATCACTTAAGCGCAGTTATTATCAGCGGTCACTCGGTAACGCTAACGGCCTTATGTCCCATCGTGGGGTACCAAGAGGATAAAGAAAAAAAGGCTCTGTAAGAAAAGGCGAATCACTTAAACGGACACGTGTAATAATCTTCCTCGAGTTCATAGAGATACGCGGCCATGTCGTCGCGAATATTCATCAGCTTGCTGTCGCAATCATTCATCATCATTCGGAAGAGGTTCGTGTTGTGCGTGATCGCCTCGTTGACGGACGGAAAGTCGTTGAGGATGAGAAACTGCTTCAGGTCGGAAACGAGCTTCAGCAGTGATTCGCCGGCACGCACGACATTGGCGGCACGCACGGACATCTCGTGGTGATCCTGCTCCACATGTGTCGCTCTCGCCACTTGTGTGTCCTCCTCCGTCTGAGAACAGGGACAATGGAATATGTGATTGCTGTGTAACACCGTCATATTCGATAGACTTGCTACATGGAAAATACATTTTTGTCCAAGTAGGAAGAGCAGTAGTAGGCAATTACAATTTACGATAAGAAGGCCATCCTTAAAAAATTCTATGTTTGCTGTCCCCCGACCCATGATTTTTTTAGTGGGTAGGTAGGTAGGTCATTTTTTTTTTGTGAGGCATAATAGTTATTTTAAGTCTGTCCTCATGTTTGCCACACATGCTTTGTGTTTCAGTCTTAACTATAAAAAATGTAAAAAAAAAATATATATAGAACCCAAAATGTAAAAAAAAAACTTGGGTCGCAGCTATTTTCGTGGGTCGGTCGGAGGACAGCAAACATAATTTTTTAACGATGGCCTAAGAAAAGCAGAAGCACGTATACTAATTCCTTAACCTACTAAAAAACTAAAGCAGCAATACGAAATGCTTTAACCAATAAAAAGATACCAGAGGACATGATTTAAAACAAAACACTTACTTTTGCAAGCTTAATTATTTCTGTAAAGTTAGCAAGGATCGAACAAACGTCATCTTTTAGTCGCTTCTGGTAAGATTTCAAAAGGGCATCTTTGCTCTGTGGGAGAGTTCGTTGCTGCGATGACATCCTGACACTGACAGTAATGTACTAATGATTGTCGATGTTGACAACTCACACACTGATATTGACAGTGTATTATGCCAACTACGTTACTAAGTATTGAACTTGAAGATCTAGACTCTAGTATCTACCTGCAAATGTACAAGTAGAATATATATGTAAATAAATACGAGCTAATAGACAATAATCACGATTCACAAGGAAGATGACCTTTCTGAGTTTCTCAAAATAATAAGTTTGAAATTGAACAATAAATTCAGTTTTTGAGTGATAGTGAGGCTCATAGGGTCTATTTTGATAGAGCAGAAGAAGGCACAACTCGTCATCATCGCACACGACGTTGAACCGATCGAGGTAAGGCCTAAAAAATGACGTTTGTTTCCGCTAACCCGACCGAGTACATTTTAAACCGCCGTGTCGAAACTTTATTGTGATCGGCAAAAAAAAATATTTTTTTAAATATTTTTTTTAAATAAAGAAAATCCCAACGTGCTATCGATCAGTGAATGCATTGATTTGACTTTGAAGTCATTATATGGACTGTTATAAGTATAAAACAAGTATTGTTAGAATACAAAGAAAAATAAAATATATTTGATATAAAAAAAAATTGACTACCGTGTCCAATTTTTTTCAGCTTGTAAGCGGAAACAAACATATTTTTTTTCTTAGGCTTAAGCGATTATAGAGTCTTAGCGCGTGGTGGTGACTTGACCTCCAAATGTCTCGCTTGTGTAGTTTTGCGACGCGTGACTGGTGTTTGCCCTCTTCATCGCCACGGTGACAGTGTCGTTGGAAATTCGACGAAACCCACAGCACTAAACTGGATCCATGTCCCTCATGTATATTCCATGTTGTGTATGCATCCCTCTGTTTCTCACATAGGGATCAATTACATCTCCTTCAGATTTGGCAGTCCCTAACCTTGAAGGGGGGCTTATGTCAGGCTTGCGAGCCGACTCGACTGGAAGCAACTGGATTTCGAGGAACTGGAAGCGATCGGCAGCGACTAGTTGCGTCTAGTTGCTCACTGTTCTATTCCGAGCAACTAGTGGCGGCCAGTCGCAGGCAGTCGCGTCGCAGTCGACTGACCTAAGCACTGCAGTCGCAGTGAATTGCAGCCAATTGCTTCCAGTCGAGTCGGCTCGCAAGCCCGACATAAGCCTCCCTTTAGTAACCTTTTGTAAAAAAAAAAATGCCCTGTCGGTATAACTCTTGTTTTTTGTTCAGTGATATGTTGGTCTTGATAGATTGTGGTGCACCTTCCAACGCTCTGCCGCAAGATGGGTGTTCCGTACTGCTTTTTGCCGTTCTTTTCCGTTATTTGACAACATGGTAAGTGTGGAGAAATTTTGTGTGAAATGGAAATCGGCCTGTATTAAACACATCTTTCAGTCACGCCGATTAATTTAGGATTAAACTGATAACATACTGTTTTTATAGTTGACGGGCCTTAGTTGTTATCTTTATGTCGAGATAGTTTTGTTGAATGTTGGTATTGTTTTCGTCAACTTTAGGGTAAAGTATAAAGTGTATGTCTGATACGTGATAAACGCTAGTCACAGTTAGTGTGTATACCTTTTCTGTTTTAAGTGTTTCTCGGATTGGTTACTTGGTTTATCTGATCGACATTGGTTGCCACGCATTAATGATGATACTTGATAGGGACATATTAATCAAAATGATTATTTATCCAAGTCTGAGTGCGAACTAAACCAATGCCAATCCAATGGCAATGCCATTGTGTGATTGTAATTTGTAGTACTTTGTGGTTGTAACATGTAGTCCAAAAGTTTGGTTAAAAATGTGTTGACTCAATCAATGCATTGGATTTTGTTTTTATAATATTTTCGCGGACATGAAGATACTAATTCCTAGTAGTGGTGTTAAGACTTGCCAATCTTGGTTTTGTAGCCTAAGAGAAAGGGAAAGGGGAAGAAGAAGGTGGCCGCCCCACCTCTCGCTACCAAAAAGGCTGAAGCAAAAAAGGTAGTCAACCCTCTGTTCGAGAAGAGACCACGTAACTTTGGAATTGGTAAGTGTTTGGAATTGTAAGTATTGAGCGCTCATGCCGTGTGCTTGTAAATTTTAACAATGTTGTCGCATATATGATGATGCTAAGATAGGGACACATGATTCCTAATGATTATTTATCGAAATATTTATCTCTGATATGCGCAGCATTCGTGGAGGTATTTTTCATTTGATTCATACCCAAAGCCATTATTCAAAGCAATGTAATGTCCGATTCCATCGACGATTTTAGGCCAGGACATTCAGCCGAAACGTGACCTGAGACGATTTGTGAGATGGCCCAAGTACGTCCGTCTGCAGAGGCAGAAACAGATACTGTACAAGCGCCTCAAGGTTCCACCAACTATTCACCAGTTCTCCCAGGCTCTTGATAAACAGACAGGTATGCTTCCTTGTGCAGTTATGCAACTTGTTGCTTAATAGAGGGTTAAAGATGATTGGTGTGTTTACCCAAAATTAAAGAGTTTTAGTTACTAATGGAAAAAGAGGATCAACTGTGTACAGCAGTCTGGAAGGCATCAAGGTTCTTTAGGTTAGGGCTAAGGGGTAGAGCTTGGGATAAGTTCTCTCAGATCCCATGGAGACTATGCGTCACTAAAATTTTAGCGACTTGGAACTGTCTCCTAAACGTTGAGACCCTATCTGTGCTTCATTACCCCTAGTCTACCTTTAGCTCTAGTACTATAGCCCGCACTATCTGTACTATCTGTACAGTTGCCGCAGGGCTATAGAACATTTTATGCCAGGTTTCGTAGCTGCACCTGTCTCCCAATGTCTCCATGAAAAATGGCTCACAAAATGCAAAATGATCGGTCTTTTTAACACTTATTTATCTACATGGACATCTCACCTATCTTTTTGAACACTCCACAACTTTACACCATGTATTTATGCATTTATTCCTCAAAGTGCTAGCACTACTTGCGTTTCGTTTTGAATTGCTGTTGTGTACACGCGTGACGTCACCTGAAATGTAAGACCGATCATTTTTAAGAAAGATGACCTTTCTGAGTTTCTCAAAATAATAAGTTTGAAATTGAACAATAAATTCAGTTTTTGAGTGATAGTGAGGCTCATAGGGTCTATGTCCCCCATACTATCGGAGGGTATCCTGGGTATGGTTCCATATATCGGAGGCAGTACCCTGGGGGACATAGACCCTATCAGCCTCATCGATAGTGAGTGATAGACCTGTATCATAGTATTTGGACGCTCGCCCGAAACTGGACGCTCCTAAGTGCGCATGCGCGCAGGCGCCTCTTGTTTTGCAAGGGCGCATGCGCAGCATGCGCAGTAGTCATCTGCGCATCTCGCCCATCGAAAACGGTCGCAATACTGCATACTGCATAGCACTCGCTGCCACAGGCACTTGAAGCGTTTCAATATAGACAATTAAATATAATGCTAAATAAATACGAAATCTATTTACTATCAAACTCTTAATGTTTCTATACTCTCTTTCACCTATTATTAGGGGTGCAACGAATCACAACTTCACGGTTCGGTTCGGTTTTCGGTTTTCACATTTCGGTTCGGTTATTTTCGGTTCGAATATTTGCGATCAATTACAAATCTTATAACACCAAACAGAAGTGCAAATTTAATAATCAGACGGGTTTATAAATACCATAGATCTGTAGGAGGCCGGCGGATCAACATAAGTTGTCATTTTTGCAGACAAAAAGAACGCGTTGACCTTCTCGTGGCATGTAGCAAGTGGTCTATCAATGTTATCTGTTCGCTGATTGGCCGAGAGTTTACGACCAGCCAATCCCAGTGCGCGTATCTCAAAAGCGTATGTATCGGGTATATATAAAATGTGGAACCGAAACCGAGCCGAAAACGGAACGACGGTTCGAATATCCGAATGGTGGCGCAAAACCGCGGTTAACCGTTACACCACTACCTATTATTGCCGACAGTTTCCTGTAAATTCCGTCTAAATCCTCTATACGCTACCGGCCGCCATGGCTGCCGCGGCTGCACTGTGCACACTGACACTTATATATATAGCAGGTAGGAAAGCGTGCTGCCCAAATTCGCTCGATGCTCGCTGGATTTCACACGATTTCAACACAAATATTCAACCATTCTACTCCATCTTTGTTTCTCTTTCAACAACAGTGTTCACTTGTTATAAAAACATACTGTCTCTGTTCGTAACTGAGCTGTGTCACGCAAAATCACATAAAGGCTGACGAAATTTTCGCGATTGCTAACGTTGCCCAGTAAATGTAAATGGCTGCCAGAATCAGGAAACGCTCACCGGCGCTCTTCGTGACCTCATTCTTGCGCCGCAACGCTGCAACGTTTTTGCAACGCTCCAATGGCGAGGCTCGTACGGGAGTTGGAAAGCAGTGCGCCGCCTATAGTAAAATAATAAGTTTGAAATTGAACAATAAATTCAGTTTTTGAGTGATAGTGAGGCTCATAGGGTCTATGTCCCCCATACTATCGGAGGGTATCCTGGGTACGGTTCGATATATCGGAGGCAGTACCCTAGGCGACATAGACCCTATCAGCCTTAGCAATAGTGAGTGATAGGCCTGTATCGTAGTATTTGGACGCTCCTCAGTGCGCATGCGTGAAGGCGCCTCTTGTTTTCCAAGGGCACATGTGCAGCATGCGCAGTAGTCATCTGCGCATCTCGCAAATCGAAAACGGTTGCAATAAACAAACATGGCGGCCAACCCAGTCACTCATGGAAACATTTGATTGAAACAATTTGCAATGTAGTAAGTTAGTAAGACTGTGTTATGTGTGTCAGGTTACAAGGCAAAACAAAAAGAAAACAAAAGAGCATGGCTACTATTTCCTACGGCCCTGCAAAACAAGATTCAAACAAAGAGAAAACGAGAGAAAAACAAAAGAGCATGCGCGCATGCGCACTTAGGAGCGTCCAGTTTCGGGCGAGCGTCCAAATACTAAGGTACAGCTGGGTTCTCCAAGCTTTTAAATTATAGCATGAGGGTGCTACTCACTGCTAGGGGGGTCCGGGGGCATGGCCCCCCCGCAAAATTTTTGAATTGTAGAAGCCCTGAGATGCAATCTGGGACACTCTGTGTGTAAATTTGAAGCACTGCATGTGGGGTAAAAATGTTTGTTTTGCATGGGCAAAGCCATCGGAAAATTCAAAATAATTATTTCTTGATGAGCTAGAAAACACTCGGATTTGAAGTATGAAAATGAACATTATTGCGCCAGCTAGCCTACACCAGTTGGTTAGGATTGATTGTCAGTTCAGATGCAAAATATTGAAAGCAAAAGGTTATACACCATAGATTAATTTTAGTACTATAACACGCGTATATAAGATAGCCGAGTTGGTTTACAGTTAGTGTTAGGGTTAGGGATAGGGATAGGGTGACTGTTTGTACTTGTGTGTGGGATTGCCGTAACCGTAGCATCAAGACCAACGTGTATTAATTGTATTATTAACTTCTTGTGTATACAGCAGCGTGGCGGCTATGATATTTAGAGTGGCGGGTGCATTTTAGGATGGCAGGGCTCGACGATAAGTGCCCTTGGAGAACCCTGTACAGGCCTACAAATTTGAAATTACACTTGCAGTGTTCTCAGTACTGTTCAACTTCAAGATTGTGTGACTTATGAAAGCATACTGCATAGCACTCGCTGCCACAGGCACTTGAAGCGTTTCAATATAGACAATAAGGGCAATAAAATATAATGCTAAATAAATACAAAATCTATTTACTACCAAATTCTTAATGTTTCTATACTCTCTTTCACCTATTATTGCTGACTGTTTCCTGTAAATTCCGTCCAAATCCTCTATGTACACACGCTACCGGCCGCCATGGCTGCCATGGCAGCACTGTGCACACCGACACTTATATATATAGCAGGTAGGAAAGCGTGCTGCCCTAATTCGCTCGACGCTTGCTGGATTTCACACGATTACAACACAAATATTCAATCATTCTACTCCATCTTTGTTTCTCTTTCAACAGCAGTGTTCACTTGTTATAAATACATACTGTCTCTGTTCGTAACCGAGCTGTGTCACGCAAAATCACACAAAGACTGACGAAATTCTCGCGTTTGCTAACGTTGCCCAGTAAATGTAAATGGCTGCCAGAATCAGGAAACACTCACCGGCGCTCTTCGTGAACTCATTCTTGCACCGCAACGCTGCAACGTTTTTGCAACGCTCCAATGGCGAGGCTCGTACGGGAGTTGGAAAGCAGTGCGCCGCCTATAGCCCATAATGTGCGATGATGACGAGTTGCTGTCCTTCTTCTGCTCTATCAACGTTGGTGGACGGCTGTTTGACGCCGGATCGCACGACGGGAGCGCGCTTCGTGGGCTGGTCCTCCTTACCGGCTGCGCGCTCCTCCGCTCGCGCCGCCAACCGCTGTTTCTTCGCCTTCTTGTTCTCAGGTCGGTACTTGTCCATCAGCTTAAACAGCTGCGTGGCTGCGAGAGCGGGGGGGCGGGGGAGCGAACGTCTCAATCTATTCCAAGTCCATCCCTCGTCACGGATTTTATTTGTTACTCTCACGCAGGGGGCGAAATTAGTTCGTTCTATTAATGTATCACTTCGGGATACCGGCTATTGAATCTTGGGTATCCCCCCCAAAGATGTCTGGTATCCTCGGATTTTTTTGGATAGTGAATTTCAACAATGTTGTATCCAAAATCTTGAAATATGCCAGACTTAATTCAGCCATTTGAAATTATTAATATGTAAATGGTAATATATATTATAAAAATCTCGCTTTTTTTCCCCCCCGCCCGGTCTTTTTAAAATCTTAGTGGGCTGAGTGCTATTCGCGAGGCATTTCATTTTTACCTGAAGCATATATACAACGCAGCGTGTTGCTATATATATCAAGAGTGCTAATAGAGATCTCTATGATTTGACAGCCGCCTCCACAGTACATGCAGACGTATTTTGTCTGGCGCATTGATCTGCGTTCGCTTGATACAATCATGATACATGTATACAACATGTTTCACATTATGATCAACATCGGCCATTGCTTGCGCTTGGATAATATGCTATGCCTGCTGCTATAAAAACGCTAGTGTAGACAGTAGTAAATTTGTAACTAAGAGGGCGCGCACTGCGCTCTCGCGCTTGCTCAGATGCGCTGCCGTATAAAGCTTGATAACTCAACAACCACTTCTCCGATATGACGAACGGGGGGGGGGGGGGGCGGGGGTTTTTTGTTTTTTTTACTCTGTCCGTGCGGGACTACAAGCATGAAATCTGGTATCACCGCCACAAGATCTTGGATGTTATTCCCTGCGATATCGGATAGCCGCGTAGTGTTTCGACCCTGTCACGTCTATTAACGATCATGGACACTGCTCGTATTGTGGGAGAGACTGAGTGGTATGTGCGGTAAATAGAATCTGGAAGCTAGATAAACAAGTATAGGTAGACGTAGCTCTAGGACTATAGACCGTGTTTACAGTTTGCCGCATGGCGTGAGTAGATAGGTTTTTATGGCCAGGTTGTCGTAGCTGCCCTGGTCTCCACATTGTGCTTGGCGGTGGTGGTGTTCGGTGGTTGTATTCACGAGAAATGGTCACAGAACGCAAGGAGTATCGAGGTGCTGGTGACGTTTTCAGGTGAGGCGGTCACGGCGGTGGGTACAAACAGCAATTCAAAACGAACGCACAGTAGTGCTCAGCACTTCTGAGGAATAAATGCCCATAACTACCTTGGTGTAACAGTTGTGGAGTGTCAAAAAGATAGCGTGAGATGTCCATGTAGTAAATACGGTTAAACGAGCGATCATTTTTGCATTTTTGGAGCCATTTCATGGAGACATTTGGGAGACAGCGTTGCGCTACGAAACCTGGCATAAACATGCCTTCCTGATAGCCCTGCGGCCTAAGTGTACTGCGGGCCTATAGTACTAGCCGCTAAAGGTAGACTAGCTAGGGGTCTCAACCGTTTCAGGCAGACAGCTCTCCACATAGCTCGCCTAAAATTTTAGTGACGCAGATAGTGTCTCATCGGGATCTGACCGAGCTATCTTTATCCAAGCATCATACCCTCTAGCCCTAGCTAAAGGGAACCTTGATGCTTCCAGATGCTGTAGACAGGTGATCCTCTTTTTCCATTAGTAACTAACTCTTTAATTTGTCGGTAAGAACACCAATCATCTGTTAAGCCCTCTAATTAAGCCAACAAGTTGCATAAACTGCCACAGGAAGCCATACACTGTTCTGTTTTCAAGAGCCTGGAAACTGGTGAATAGTTGCGTGGCCAAGGGCTTGAGCGCGTTGTACAGTATCGTGTGTCTGGGCCTCTGGGCAGAGCGGTACGTACTTGGGCCATCTGCACAATCGGGTCAGTCACGGTTCGGCTGGAAATGTCCTGGCCTAAAATCGGTCGATGAATGCGAATTACACTTGCTTCGAATAATGGCTTTGGGTCATGAATCAACATGAAAATACGGCGTTACACGAATGCTGCGCAGTATCGAGAGATAAATGAAGTTCGAGAAATTAATCAGTTGGGGATATGTGTCCCTATCTTAGCATCATCATATATGCGCGACAACATTGTTAAATTTACAGCACACGGCATGAGGCCGCTCAATAGCTTCATTCCAACACGTGTTACCAATTTCCAAAGTTGACGTGTCTCTTCTCGAACAGAGGGTTTGACTGACTTTTTGGCTTCAGCACGTGTGTTGGTAGCGGAGAGGCGGGCGGCCGACGCTTCTGGTTTCCCTTCACGTTGTCTCTTTAGGCGTACAAAAGCAAGATGGCAGTCTGT